TATAGCATAATAAACTCATAGGCACCAAATACTCCTCCTGTTCAAACTCACAGTCCTAAATACTCTATTTTCTCAGGAAAAAGGTGCCTGGGGAGGCTTTGAGTAATATAATACTGCCATCTAGCCTCAAAATCTTTAAATTACATAAAAATATATTGTATGGTTACTATTGGAGGGAAAAGTGTCCTCTTATTTATGTGCAGTAATAAATTTCTATAGAAGAATGACTCAAATAGAGTTAGAAAACAAACATGTATGTATAATGTTTGATAACATATTCCTAACTAGTAAAAATGCCAAAATAATCCTAAAAACAACTAAAATGAAATTGGGAAGTATAGTTTCCAATTTTGTTCTTTTTTTCAAAATTGTACTGGCTGTTCTGGGTCCCTTGAATTCCCATATACATATTAGTGATGAAGTTTTGGGGTTTGGAGCTGACGGCCAAGAAAGAATTCTTGAAGATGTCTTTGGTGCAAAAAGGTGATTTTATTAAAGCACAGGGACAGGATCCATGGGCAGAAAGAGCTGCACTGGGGTTGTGACCGGTAACTCATTATATACCCTCAGGTTGGGAGAGGGTCAGGGACAGTGTAAGTCTCTAAGAAATTTTGGAAGCAAGGTTTCCAGGACCTGGTGGGGGGGTGGCTAACTGTTGTTAGGAAAACACCATTTATTACCATCTAGTAAAGCCTCAGTCATGAGACCCTTCAGATGTATATGAGGAGGCCATAATCTTGAAGTATGATTGACAGCATATATGTTGGGGCAGTTGAGATAAAGGAAGTAGACTTACAGGATCCTTGAGGTTGGGATAATGTTCAGCTAAAATTCTCTTTTGCCCCCAGCAAAGTGTCATCTTAGAGGCAGCTGAGCTCGTACTGGGAGGTCACTCTGCTGGTTTCAAGGACTTGTCAGTGGGCTGTAGGCAGTAAGAGAGTTTAATTTTTCATTTGCCTTAGTTTCCCACATCACCATGGCAAGCACTTAAATCCCTTTCCTTTTGTTCTTCGATAGCCAGGAGTGTCCATGGAATATCACACGTATTCCACGACCTAACGGGGTGGGCGGATGCAGAGTGTGCTGTTAGCCTATACCTTGCCCTCAGTGTGCCCCATGCTCCCTCATCTTTAGGATCATCTTCTCAATTTTTTTTAAAGATTTTATTATTTTTAAGTAATCTCTACATCCATCGTGGAGCTCAAACTTACAACCCTGAGATCAAGAGTCACATGCCCTACCTACTGAGCCAGCCAGGCATCCCTTGTCAATTTCTAAAAAAAAAAAAAAAAAAAAAAGGCAACCGGGATTCTGGGAAAGATTGCATTGAATCTGCAATCAGTTTAGGGAGTATTGCCATGTTAATATTATCTTCTGATCTGTGAACACAGATGTCTTTCCATTTATTTAAATCTTGAATTTCTCTCAACAATGTTTTATAGTTTTCAGACTTTTTCACTTCTTTTGTTAAATTTATCTCTAAGTATTTTATTCTTTTTTATTGGTAACATAAATGGAATTCTTAATTTCATTTTTGGATTGTTCCTTGCTAGTGTATATAAATCATTTGATTTTTGTATATTGATCTTGTATGTGGAGACTTGTTGAACTCATTTACTAGTTCTAATTTTTTAGTGTATTCCTTAGGACATTCTGTATACAGTATTACATAATGTACAGGTAATGATAGTTTTACTTTCTTACCAACATGGATGCCTTTTATTTCTTTTTCTTCCCTAATTTCCTTGGCTAGAACCTCCACTGCAATGCTGAATAGAAGTGGAAAGAGCAGACGTCCTTATCTTGTTTCTCATCTTAGTGGGGAAACATTAGTCTCTCATCATTAAGTATTAGCTTTTTCCTAGATGTTCTTTATCAGGTTGAGGAAGTTCCCTTCTATTCCCAGTTTGTTGAATGTTTTTACCATCAGTGTTGTAAAATGCTTTTTCTGCATCTATTGAAATGATGTGGTTTTTGTCCTTTAGTCTATTGATATATATGTTATAGGCAGAATGATGCCCCCACCCAAAGATGTCCACATTTTAATGCACAGGACCTGAGTATGCTATGTTACATAAGATTGCAAATGGAACTAAAGTTGCTAATCAGTTGACCTTAAAATAGAGATTATCCTGGATTATCTAGGTGGGCTCAGTGTAATCATAAATCTTTGTAAATGGAAGAGGGAGGCAGAAGGAGAATCATGGAGATGGCAACATGGGGACTCTGTCCCATGTTGTTCCATTTGAATATGGAGGAATGCAAGGAATGTGGTGGCCTCTAGAAGCTGGAAAAGTCAAAGGTAAATCCTCTCCCTTGAGCCTCCAAAAAGGAATGCTGATCCATTTTAGCCCAATGAGACTTAATTTGGATTCTGACTATATAATAATAAATTTGTGTTGCTTTAAGCCAGTAAGGTTGTAGTAATTTATTACATTAGTAATAAGAAAGTAATACAGTGTATTACATTAATTCATTTTCAGATGTTAAGCCAACCTTTCATTCCTGGGATAGATCCCAGTTGATCATGGCATATGAGCTTTTTTATATGTTGTTAGATTTGATTTGCTAGTGTATTGTTGAGGATTTTTGAGTACATATTTACTAGAGATACGGGTCTGTAGCTTTGTGTGTATGTGATATCTTTATTTGGCATCAGGGTAATACTGGTCTTATAGAATGAGTTAGGAAGTATTCCCCATTTCGGCTCTTAGTAAAACCACTCCAGCTTTGTTAATAGTTACTGTTTTCATGATACAGCCTTGTCCATCTTTTTGCTTTCAAACTATTTAAAACCTGCCTTTAATCTAGATTTCCTCTATAATAAATGATATTTTTAAAATTTACATTAGAGAGGGGTGCCTGGGTGGCTCAGGTGTTTGGGCATCTGACTTCAGCTGAGGTCATAATCTCACGGTTTGTGGGTTTGAGCCCTGCATCAGGCTCTGTGCTGACAGCTTGGAGCCTGGAGTCTGCTTCAGATTCTGTGTCTCTGCCCCTCCCTCACTCACATTCTGCCTTTCTCGCTCTCTCTCTCAAAAAATAAATAAACGTTGGGGCACCTGGCTGGCTCAGTTGGTTAAGTGTCGGACTTCGGCTCAGGTCATGATCTCACAGTTCATGGGTTCAAGCCCCACATCGGGCTCTATGCTGATAGCTCAGAGCCTGGAGACTGCTTCAGATTCTGTGTCTCCCTCTCTCTGTGCCCCTCTCACACTCGCGCACGCTCTGTCTAAAAATATATAATAATAATTAAAAATAAATAAATAAACGTTGAAAAATTTTTTTTCTAAATTTACATTAGAGAGAGCAAGGGGAAGAGGCAGAGGAAGAGAGAGAGGAAGAATCTCACTCTGAGCATGGAGCCTGACATGGGGCTTGATCCCACCACCCTGAGATCATGACCTGAGCCGAAATCAAGAAGAGTTGGACATACCTGAGCCAGCCACCCAGGCGCCCCGATACATTTTCAAAATGTTTATTTATTTTTGAGAGAGAGAGAGGGAAAGAGAGAGCACAAGTGGGGGAGGAGCAGACAGAGAGGGAGACATAGAATCTGAAGCAGACTCTGAGCTGTCAGCACAGAGCCCGACGCAGGGCTCGAACTCAGGAATGTGAGATCAGGACCTGAGCTGAAGTTGGTCGCTTAACTGACTGAGCCACCTAGGACCCCCACCCCTGATATTTATAACAAAATAACTACATTTGTTCACTTACAAGCTGCTTTAAAAAAAAAAAATAGCTGCTGATATAAACCTTTGTTTTTTGAACTATAATTCTCATTTCATACACTCTGGTTCTCTTGCTTGCACTAAATCTTGGCATTTTGGCTTATTTTTGTATTGTTTAAAATCAAATTTAGGGACCATATATTGGGCCCAATTTTTTTCTATTGGTTTGTGAAATCTGTAACTAACAACCACTAACCTAGAAACTTTCCAAGACTAGTTTGGAGATCTGTTGTATATACAACATAGGCTGTATCTATGGAACAAGTTTGGTAAACTTGTGAATAATTTTTAAAGCAATAACATTTTATCAGTATTTTTGCTTTAATTCATATTTTTAAAAGATCTTATAAAATCAATTTCGCAAAAGAAATGTAAACCATATTAAAACTGCTGCTATACATGGGGCGCCTGGGTGGCGAAGGCTCGTTACGTCCGACTTCGTTAGGTCACGATTCGGTCCGTGAGTTCGAGTCCTGCTGTCAGGCTCTGGGCTAAGGCTGATGGCTCGGAGCCTGAGCCTGGTATTCTGTGTCTCCCTCTCTGCCCTCCCGCTCATGCTCTGTCTCTCTGTCCCAAAAATAAATAAAAAACGTTGAAAAAAAATTTTTTTTTAAAATTAAAAAAAAAACTGCTGCTATACAATATGAATAACTGAGAACATCTAAATGTCCAATAATATAGATTGGTTAAATCATAATGAATTCATATAATAGTTATCGATTAAAAATCATGCTTTATAATAATATTGTATGATGTGGAAATGTTTACCAACCGGTCAAATTGTCCTAGTAACTGCTCCTTCCCCTAACCATTTATATTGCAGCTTTCCACGGTGCTTTACCACACCTATAGGTTTTCTTTAATCCTGCTCACTCCTTTGTAAATAGTTGTTTCGTTAAACCCTGTTCAAGCACATCACTTTAGTATGTCTGTTTCCCACCAGGACCCTGGGAAAGTTCATACACAGACTAATGGTGAAATTATACCATTACTCTCTGGTTGGTGAAATTAAGATGAAATTACAGAGAAAATAACGAATACCCATTTTTAAAAAGTATTACTATGACATGTGCACTGCAGCTAATAAATGAAGGTTACCATTAATTAAATGTTTTTAGTTGTATGCTATTCTTTGTATATCATGCCCTTTAATCTTTTAAATACCCCTATGAGATATAATAGTTATTATCACCCCTAGTTTATATTGAGGACATATTAAATATTTCTGATTATTGTGAGTTAATATATTGTCATTGTTTTCTTTTGTAGATCATTCACGAGAAGTCCTGGAGCAATTAGTAGGCCCAAACAAACTAAAGCAAGTGACTTGGACTGTTTATTGATGCTTATTGAAGCTTATCAAAGCAATGATCTTCATACGACATTCCCAGGAAACAATGGTTTTTGAGATTGGCTTTCCAATAATGTGGTTTTTGCTTTGAAGTTAACCAGACTCTTAAACATTTTAATAGTGGTATTATTCTGTGTTTGTTTGAGGAGTCATTGTTTTTGACGTGGTAAGCCTAGCATGCCCTCTGATGTATTCGGGGTGGGGGTGGGGGGAGTATTGTGTTTGTTTCTTAAATAACAAAGTTTTAAATTACCAGTTTTCCCTGGAGATTTCCTTCTCCTACTTACATATTTGAGCCATTGTAAGAGAAAATTTACCAATATGAATAACCATTAGAATTCTAAGTATCTCTAAAGGCATAATTACCTTCCTAACTATTTTCTGGCCCCTACCTTCCTGAAGTGCTCATTGGCTAAAAGGAAAGCTGAACATCAGGCCTTTAAATCTTCCCAGAATTCATTTCAATAAAAGAAAGAAATATAATAGTTTAATGCCATAAACCCATGACATCATACACCTCAGCCATTCAGCATATGAATGTTACTGAGGCCCTTGCCCAGCCACTTACTTTTTATGGCTACTTTTTCCAAATACGTGCTATGCATCTATGAAATTTCTTCCTTAAAAACTGCATTCAGGAATTTGTAAGAATGAGTAGCTACAAAATATCATTATAGAGGCTGTTTCTAAAGCTCTGTTGGTTTCACATTGTGAAACAAATAGCACAGGTCTTAGTTTTCAAACGTATTGCTCTTTTATTGTTATACGTATACAGTGATATATACAGTGTTTAAACTACCCCCAAATTCAGAATATTCCCTGTGCCATGAGCCTGTCTCAGTGGGACTTTCTTAAAGATTTTCTATTTTAACTCTGATGTAGTGCAAAAGAAGGGAAGTATAGCATAGGCAAAATTCTTCTACATGTTTAGAAGGAGGGTTTACACAGTCAACTCTATTTCTTGACCTTACTATTAATTACTTTATAAATATGGTATGTTTACAGTATGGATATATATATTGCCCCTCAAAGGTGGTACATATGTATATGTGTAAAATGGGTAAAGCCTGTTTTACCTGTGAATTTTCTTTTAAGTAGGTTCCACCAATGTGGGGCTTGAACTCATAACCCTAAAATTAAGACTCACCTCCTCTACGAACTGAGCCAGCCAGCTACCCCTAAAGACAAATTCAATAAAATTTAATAGTAAATATCAAACAAAGTAGCTTTTTCCTCTCTTGGGGAAACAAGTTTTAAGATCTGAAGATCAGCTTTTTAGGGTCTGTAAAGGATTATCTTCCTAAAGCACTTTGCAGTTTAATATTCTTGACTTTTTATATTGCTGGTTGTATTAGCTATTTCTATTTAAAATTTCAGGACCCCGTGCCTATCTGTCTCTATCATCCTCACCTGTTACCTTGATCTCTATTTTTCTCCTTACCATCTATCACCATCTGACATCTTGTCTATTTTTTGTTTGCTATCTGTCTCCCCACCCTAGAATATAAGCTTCACGAAGACAGAAAAATTTTTTTTCCCGTTGCTGTATTCCCAGTACCTAGAACAGTATCTGGTACATAACAAGCACCCAATATTTGTTGAATTGATGGACACAGAAAAAAATAAAGGACAAAAATAAATAAATAAAAATAATCTCCGTACTTCCAGTTTCCGGTCTGATGTTATAAAGAGATTGGAAGTCATCACTCCTGTCCTCGAAAGATAAAAGCTGAACAAACTGAAAGTCATTAAGTGCTATAATACTGCTTGTACTATAAGTGGACTTGGCCTAGTTATAAATGTATACCACTAAAAAAAATTTTTTTTAGTATGTATAATTGATATCCTAAGGGAAGAGAGAAAATCATAGAAAATGCTCAATTAAAAGCAGAGAAGGCACAGGGCACCTGGGTGGCTCAGTCAGTTAAGCGTCTGACTTCAGGTCAGGTCATTATCTTGCAGTTGGTGAGTTTGAGCCCCACTTCACGCTCTGTGCTCACAGCTCAGAGCCTGGAGCCTGCTTCGGATTCTTTGTCTCCCTCTCTCTCTGTCCCTCCCCCTGTGCTCTCTCTCTCTCTCAAAAATAAACATTAAAAAAAATTTTTTTTTTAAAGCAGAGAAGGCAGGGGGCACCTGGGTGGCTCAGTTAAGTGCCCAGCTTTGGCTCAGGTCATGATCTCACAGTACATGAATTCGAGCCCTGCATCAGGCTCTGTGCTGACAGCGCAAAGCCTGAAACCTGCTTCAGAGTCTGTGTTTCCCTCTCTCTGCCCTCCCCTGCTCACACTCTGTCTCTCGCTCCATCTCTCTCTCAAAAATAAACATTAAACAAAAAAAACTTTAAAGCAGAGAAGGCAGGACAAGAGTAGACCACCAAAAGGAAACCAGGAACTCGGGCAACAAATAGGAAACAGTTACAAATATGGAAGATATTAATCCAACTATATCAATAACCACTTTAAAATTGAATGGTCCTTTTTTATTATTTTTTTTAATGTTTATTTATTTTTGGGGCACCTGGGTGGCTCAGTTGGTTAGGTGTCCAACTTCAGCTCAGGTCATGACCTCACAGCTCGTGGGTTTGAGCCCCGCATCTGGCTCTGCACTGACAGCTCAGAGGCTGGAGCCTGCTTCGGATTCTGTGTCTCCCTCTGTCTCTGTCCCGCCCCTGCTCATGCTCAGTCTCTCTCTCTCTCTTTCTCTCAAAAATAAACATTAAAAAACATTTAAAAAATTTAAAAATAAATGTTTATTTTTGAGAGAGAGCACACGCAAGCAGGGGAGGGGCAGAAAGAGGGAGACACAGAAAGAGGGAGTCAGTTAAATGTCCAACTTCGGCTCAGGTCATGATTTCACCGTGAAATCATGACCTGAGCCGAAGCTGGACATTTAACTGACTGAGCCACCCAGGCGCTCCCTGAATGGTCCTTTTTAAAAAAAAAAAAAAAAGGATTTTTTTAAGTAATGTCTACACTCAACGTGGGGTGAGATCAAGAGTCCCATGCTCCGCTAATTGAGCCAGCCAGGCACCACTAAATGTGAATAGTCTTAATACAAACCTGTTTGTTAAACTATGAAGTCATTCACGGCTCACCATTATATACATGGGAGATTTTAAAATAAGTAACATTTGGATACCTCAACGACCTTCTTGTGCCCTCCAAATAAATCATCAAGAGAGGATAATAGAAGCAGGGTTCCTAGATATTTAAGCTTAAATCTTCTCTTTGTCTCAGGTTAATTTCCACAGTGCTCCAGAGTGTAATTTTCTCCAATTTTCTCTTTCTTATCTTGCTAAGAAGGGCAATAACCATCAGAATACTCTGAATCTTCAAAGGATATGTCAACAAAACTCTTTCCTCTCAAATATCATCCAATGCCATTGTAGCCTATAATTTCTATTAATTTTAACCAAAGCTGAATAAAAATTTACAGTTGATAATGTTTGAGACCCAGTAAACCAGCAGGAATTAGATGCACAAGAGTTGTTTCAGTAGGCTGGAATAAATTCTGACTTCCAAGTTCAAGAATCCCAAGTTCCTCTGCAGCCCCAGCTCCAAAATTCCCATCTAATTATCTTATTTTCCTATTTAAGCAACAACTTGTCCTTTACTGCTTTCTGCACATTTCTGCTGTATGACTATAACTGATCACATCTCCTTGGTACCCTAATCCCAGTGGCATGCATGTATTATTAGAAAGCTTACATATAATGCTTATGTTATAAACAATTCCTAAGCAGTGTAGAAGAACGTGAGAGCACATTAGAAAGGCTGCATCTTCTACTTCACTTGTAACATATATGATGCTGGTGTTTAGTTTTAAATTAGAGAATAGAAAATATAGTACATAGGGGCACCTGGGAGGCTCAGTAGGTTGAGCGTCTGATACCAGCTCAGGTCATGATCTCATAGTTCATGAGTTCAAGCCCCGCATTGCCTTGCTGCTGTCAGGGTGGAGCCCGCTTCAGATTTTGTCCCCCTCTCTCTGCCCTTTGCCCACTTGTGCTCACTGTCTCAAAACTAAACATTAAAAAAAGTAAAAAAAAAAAAAAAAAGGAAAAGAAAGAAAATGTAGTACATATAATTAGTACAAAATTATAAGACCCAAAGGTAAAATCTAGGTCTCCCTCCCACCCCAGTCTACCAGCTATCTGGTACCCTACCCCGAACGCAACCACTGTTACCAGTTACTTATTTACCTTTTCAGGGATAGTCTATGTATGTTGCAAGCAAATACGTATTTTATATGTGAATATATATGTAAGTACATATGTATATCTTTTCTATATAAATAGTGGTATACTGTACATATTCTTCTTTACATTCTCATTTATGTCATAGGGTTTTTTCTGATTTATCAGATCCTGACAACCTGGGACATGTAGTGGTAGCATAACCAATTTCTAGCTAACCTTAGCGAGACATAAAGAGGCATCATAAGGTGTCACAGTACAGAGTATGTAGGAAATTCTAGAATCTTTATTTTTATGCATGACTGTCCATTGAGGTCCTATTATATATTAAGTACTTTATGCTTTCATTTAATATAATAGCCTTTGAGGTGAGGTTTACTAAGTTTTGTTACAATTTTATAGATGAGGAAATTAGAGCTCAGAGAGCTTAACTACCTGAAAATCCCAACTAGAAAGTGACAGAGTTGCCTGACTCCAAAGCCCATGTACTCTGTACCATGTTAAATGCATCTTTGATCTTTACAGGTAATTTTTTGGAAATACAGCATTCTTATGTATTTTGTATTGTGTTTAATTCAAAGATATATCATATAGTTGTCCTCAACTACACAAACAGACTTTGCTACACTTTCTCATTTCTCTCCACTACTTAAATTACATGTTGCTACCATTTTGGTACTGTCTTTTATAGTTCTATCCCTACAGCAGTAAAACTAGAAAATTGCAGGTAGAGATTTGTATATTTGGCATAATGCAGAACTACGTGACAACGGCTGACAAAACTTTAAGCCTTCACATTTTGGAAACAAGATTTGCCATTTAACAGGAACGGCATGCTCTAAACTGGCAGGTCTCTTAGGAGTAAACCCAAACATAGCTATATTCATCTTAGAAGCACTTGGACAACTCAAGGCCGAAAATCCCATACTGTGCTTGTTGTCAATCCATTGTTTTCCTTCCTAGTAGGCTCTGGAAGTGAATATTCTACCACTTTGTGCAGCTGATGTTGAACGCTATGTCCACTGAACTGGGGTCGCCCAGGGTCACCAATCAGTACTCGAGTTCTGTGAGTCCAAAAGCAATTCTTCAGCCATTGATGAAGACTGTCTGCAAGGTCTTCATCATAAAACATGTCTCCAAGCACAACAAGGTCCCACTTATCTTGTTCCAAATCCAAAATGTTTTTGGTTAAAATTGGAAAAGGATTCAGTTGGTTCAATTCACAATTCAGTGTGATAGCCATTCCTGCAACTTTAAAAAGAACAAAATGCATTGGTATATGCTGGGCAGTTTTGATTCCCTATTGGTTCATTTAAGTGATTCAGAAAATCTCCTAACAATATTTTTTCCCTTTTGTTGTAAGTTGTTTTTTAGGTAAAGCAGTTTACACCAATAGAAACCATTTACTGCTTCAGATATATGAATGGATATCCTGAAAACAAAACAAAACAACACAAAACACCTAAAACTGTGGAGGTTTTAAGGAACATTTGCTGACCTAGAAACCAAGAGGTTTGGTTTGTTAGTCTAGAAGACAGGGAAACAAACCTTGGGCTTGAGCAATGTGGCAAGTTAGAACTGAGACCCCTGTATAAAACAGGATCTTCAAGAGCTAAATCCTCGGTAAAACTGAAAACTAAAAGAAACTCAGATGAAATTAAAACTTACCTGTCTCAACTTGGGTTTTAATGGACTAAAATCTCCCTTAAGAACCCAAGGCCTCTCCTCACTTCGGTTTGGGGTCAAATACACACAACCTACATATTTCAGGAAATTCGCAGCCCAGAAATTAACAGTGAGTGCTCCCAGGCTCCCAAGTGGTATCGCCTTGGGATATCTGACAGACATAAATATAAATCCTGTTAAGAAAAATGTACTTAATTCAGGCCTCACAGGATCCTCACAGATAATATCAGTATCCCACTGAACATAAGTTCACGATATCAGATTACAAAATACGCATGGAAATA